CATGCATGCATTTACATGTTTATGTATTTATGTTTGTGTATATGTGTGTGCTTGTGTGTATCTATGTGTATGTATGATTCTTTGTAATTGTGTTATTTAACTGATTTTTTTATTTTATTATTTTTTATTTGTTTCACTGTCATTATTGTTATGAATTTATTTTTTTTGTATTAGGTTTACTGCAGCTATTATTTGATTTCATTCTTCTCACTGTTATCACCTCTAGCGTAGTCTTAAGAAGGGAAAACGCATGACCGAATGACCAGTTTGCACACTTTAAAAGAGAAAGAGATAAGACATTTAAAAGATGATGAAATAGAATCACGTTGAATTGATAGAGAGGAGAGCAATCAACCCATGTTGTGCCGCTATGACTCGATGCAATGACAGTATGGTGTTGCAGGGGGCAGTCAATACCAGCCTGGAGACCCTTCAGCTGCTTGCATCGGGCTCCACCAACATAAGTAGGCTTAAGAAGCAACAGCAAGAGCAGGGGGGCTCCGATGCCTCTGAGGAGAAGGACAGGCAGGACACAGTGTCACACCAGGTGAGAGGGAGCTGGACGTTCGGGTGTGTCTCGCGCAGGCAGGCAGGTAGAACGTTGATTGTTCTGGCAGGCGGGGAGGTGGCTCCGGTGTCCCGACTTTCCAAAGAGGGAGACGGGGCTGGTTGGGTAGCTTGTGGGGAGAATGGTGGTACCTATTTTTTATTATTTGATGAATAAAGGTATGGGGATGGGTCCTCTCCTGGTCTCTTCCTATGACTGTGTACTCTCTGTTTTCATTTGTCTTCTTCTCTTCTCTCTACTCTCCTCTCCTCTCCTCTCTTCTAATCTTCACTTCCTTTTCCAGTCTCTCTGTCTACTCCTCTCTTCTCTTGTCCACTTCCTTTTCCAGTCTCTCCTCTATTTCTCTTTCTCTCCCCTCTTCCTATCTCTTTCTCTTCTTACCTCTCACTTATCTCCCCTATGCTGGGTTCATGCTTATTTTTTCAGTTATTATTTACTTATTTATTTGCTTATTTATTCAATAATTTGTTTCATTCATGAGATTTGCTGAGTTTGGTTTACTCTCCTGAGCCAGTCCTGAATTGCTCCTCAATGGATATGCTTGCCATTAACCTTGCTGTGTCTTCGTGACTGCCAGACTAATAGGAAGAGCATGGACTTCTGGATACTTGGTTATTATTTTGTTATTTTTTGTTTTTTATCTTTGGTTGTTATTACATGTGTGTGATGCTAAAATCGCCAACTAACCTCGCTCGAGAATTGCAAGCTCTCAAGGGAAGATGTATGTTATGGAATGGGAGGATATTTTCCCCAGCAGCAGTATTATATACTTGCATGTAGCATCATGGCTAAATTTGTATTAGATGTAGGACTTTTATTTTTTTATTTTTTATTTTTTGTTATTATTATTTTTTTTTTTTCTTGAAGATTATAAATTAATAGAGAGCAAGTTTTTTGCGGTGAATTCAAATGTTATGTTTTTCAATATCAGATAGAGAAGAAAATTGCATAAGTGGATTTGCATTACTATATGAATGAGGAGATTATTTCAGAAAAGGAATTTGTGTTTTCTGTGATAAATTTGGGAATAATGAATTTAACGGATTATTTCATAGCACTGCCTGTTTCTTCCGTTATCCAAAGAAAATTAGTGCCGTGAGCTTGTGTGCATAGACATGCATACAGGTCAGAATTAGCACGTTTGATTTAGCTCTTATATTTGTGATAAAAGAGAAACTGAATTCTAGCATGAAAGTTGCGGGTTTAGGCTCCCTAGCTTACCCTCCCACATAAAATTCAATTGGAGTAGCCTGGGCAGGACGGCTTTGGGAATCATCCACTATTTTCTTTCGTTAAATGTGAGAACAGTATGTCGCCTAAATAGCCACATTAAAAACATTTTTATAAATGGATAATGGTAAAGGATGATTATGACCAGTCTTATAATATGATGGAAGTGAAGTATGCCAGTAGGATATTCAAGCTTGATTTTTTTAGGAGTGTCAGGGTAGGCGGAGCAGAATCCTTCGATTAAAGCCTAGTTTATTTCACACTTTAGAGAGAGAAAAGGCTTTGTATGGTTGATGTTTAGTGTAGGGACAAAATGTAGTCTGATGTCCCTCCTCTCCCAATTTTATCTTTTAGCCAGTGAAGATTCCAAATTCCTCAGTAGTCAGACATTCATGATTTAGAGAAGACATTTATGGATGTATAAAATTATTTTGTTATAGTTGTAGGAAAAATGTAAACTGAAGTCAGAAAAACAATAAAGAGACCCCCCCCCCCCCCCAAATCATTGTAGTAAAAATCGATGACAGGTGATTTTTTAAATTAATTTTCTTATGTTTTTAGCTTTTCTGTAAAACAAAATATATCCACAATGTATTCATTCAGTCCCCCCTTTAGTTTTTTTTATTTGTTTTATTTATTTATTCATTTATTTATTTATTTATTTTATTCTTATCAATATATATATAAGAAGAACATACAAAG